CCTTCATGTCCCCCTATGCCCACCGCCAGCACGAGCGTCGTCGACTCCAGCCCCGCCGGCTGCGCCACGACGCCCCTCAGCCGCGCGACGGCCTTGTCCAGAGTGGCGTACGACAGCGGCGCAAAGGGCAGCAGCTCTGCGTAGGGCATGAGGCGCTCTTCCGCCTCCTCGGGGGTCTGCTTGGCGCGCAGGGGGCGGCGGGGGTCCAGGAAACGCTTGTCCATCGCGTATACCTGCGGAAGATGGGGAGATGAGATTCAGGGTTTAGGGTTTGGAGGCGCACCAGGGTTTGGCTGTTGGGGTCTTGGGGGGATGTCGGTGGGATGGTGGGGTTTGGGGGAGTGGTGGTGCGTGGGTTTTTGCGCTGGGGTCGATGGCGGGGACGCTAGGGGGGAAGCAACGGAGGGTGGTTGGGTGTCGCTCGGCGGGGTGGAGGAAGTGTGTTGAGACCTCCGTGGGGAGGGTGGGTGGTGGGATGATCAGGGGCCGGCGCCAACGACCGCGGACCACGTGGCTGTGCGATGAGTGCAGCAGAGCCGCGCGGCGCGGCTGCCGCGGCTCCCCCCCCCCAAATCGCTGCCCCCTGCTGCCCACCTGGTCTGCGACCGTGCCGATGAGCAGCTGCTTGATGTTGATGCCGCTGAGGGTCTGGGTCACAGACAGCAGCTTGGAGCGCACCTGGAAGGCAGGGGGGGCAGGGCGTATGAACGATCCCAGGGGGCCGTGGTAAGGGGGGGGGGGTAAGAAATTCGGCGGTATTGCAGGGTCGTTTGAGGGTGGTCAGCGGGGGCATTGCTGTGAGGGCGCGGGGTTGGGGTGAGACAACAAATGATTACACTAGCAGCCGCGCCGGTGTGAGGGCGAGGGTGAGGGGTTCGAAGGGCGTTGTGGCGCGGAGCGATGGTGTGGCTTCGAGGGTGGGTTGAGGCGGCGAGGCAGGGGCCCGCCCCTTAGCGGCCCGACATGCATGCCAGGCGCGCGCCATCCTGCATTGTAAGGAAAACCCAATCAATCAATTCGTTTAGTTTAGTTTAGTATCAAAACAACAATAGTTTTTTTATCATCATAATCTGCCGACCTGCAGGTAGTAGGACTGCGTGAGCACCTCCAGCGGGGTGGAGCTGTCGTCGCCGCCGCGCGCCCCGGCCACCGCGCCGCCCTCGCCGCCAAAGACGGACGACAGCACAGTGCCCAGAGACAGGTCCCTGGCGATGTCCGGGTGCGGCGGTTGGATTGGCAGTTGACAGTTGACAGTTGGGCAAAAGGCAGTAATTGGTATGGCGGACGTTGTTACCATGCCGCTGACACGATCGAGTCGAGCGCACCAAGGAAGATCGCGGCATCAAATTTCGCGGCTCAAGGTCAGATCAGATCAGATCAGATCACCAACCTCGGAGTCGCGTCGTAAAGCTCCATGACTGTTGCCTGCTGCCGCGCTGTCGCGGTGTCCAGGTGCGTGTACACGAACCAGTGCTCAGACGCGACAGCCTGGGTTTGGGGGGCAGGTGAGACACAGACGAGGTTGTGGCAACAACGATGTTGTGCAATCGGGGCTGGCGGAGCAGGTTGGTGGGTGCTTGGGGCCGGTTTGTGACAAAAAGTTGGTTCAAGATCTGCCGGGGCCGAGGGGAGCGTCAGCGCAAGGGGCCGACAGGAGGCAGGGCGGGGTTTGGACAGCGCGGCTCTGTGTGTAAAGGGTGGTGGGCGGCAGAGGGGAGGGGGGGGGATGGAAAAAAAATCCCTGCAGGGGCGGCCCCTGGGGCGCGGCAGCCCCACGCACGCCGGCAGCTGAGAACAAGCGCCCACGACCCGGCGCAGCGCGCTTCTCATGCGCGCCGCAACACGCACGCGCGCATGCAGGCGCGAGCGTGCGCGTGTGCGTGTTCTCACCTGCACGGGCCCCGCCGCGCCCTCGTGCGCCTGCTGGTGCAGCACCGCGCCGTCATCAGTGCTCACAACCATCGCTGTCACGCCGGGCTCCGCGGCGGCGGCGGCGGCGGCCGCGCCGCGGCGCGGCGCGGCGCGGGCGGGCGCGGCGCCCTCGACGGCGAGGAACACGAGGTTTGGGTTTGTGTACTTGAATTTGAGGGCGCGGTCGCCCAGCACCTGTGGGGGCGTTTCGATTGGGGTTTTGGAGGCTTGTTGAGAAGGTTTGACAACCTGGGGCAGATTTTTCAATCCAACGCGGCCTCGGTTGCTCGTGCGCATGCCCGCCGTACAAAGCTTGCGGCGCGACAGAGCAGCGCAGCTCTTTGATGCAACCCTGCACCACCCGTTGCAAGCGCAGGCCCCAAGCATGAGGCCCCAACCGGTCCCTCAACCCATTCACAACGACGCACCTTGACTGCTGAGTGCATTGGCTCCGCGGGGTCCCGCGCGGCCACCGCCAGAAGCTTCCCGGGCAGAGCCAAGCTCCAGATCAGCTCAGCCTCATAGGCACCGCCCTCCGCCCCCGGGGCCGAGGCTGCGGCGCCGCCAAAGCCGTACCCGGCGAGCGCGCCGCCGCCCGCGCAGCCGCCGGCCGGCGGGGCGTGCACCCAGAACGAGACCCGATCGGCGAGCGCCGCGAAGCGCGCGGCCGCGGCCGCGCCGGCCGGCACGAGGCGGGCGGCGCGGGACGGCGGCGGCGGCGGGCAGCCGGACGCGCCTGGGGCCGGGGGTGCGGGCTGCAGGAGCAGGTAGCTGAATTGTTCGGCTGTGCCGTCGTGCAGGGGGTCCGGCAGGGGGATGACCTTCATGTGTGAGGGAGTGTGTTGATGGGGTGTTGGTCATTGTGTGCATGTGAGTCTTGAGGGATGCTTTGGGTGCCTGCGTGTGCCGAAATGTGTGTGATGTGCACATGCATATGCGCATGCGTTTCTAAGGTTTGCGTGTGGCTGGAGGCGAGTGCGGTATTGCCAAAGCCGCTGCGATCGAACGCCTGAGCGCTGCGCCGCAACCCGACGAGCAGAGACAGGTCTCAAGGCTAACAGCTTCCCGAGCGCCTCCTCTGCCAGGCCCACAACCGTGCTCAAAAGCAGCACGCCGCCCCCGAACCCTCCTCCCACCTTCTCCACGGGGCTGCCCGCGTCGATCCGCTCAAGCTCCCGGCCGGACCCGCCGTCCAGCACGCTCACGTACGACCGCCCCACTTCCGCGTCAGCGCCCGCCGCCGCGCCCGCGCGCACCAGTGCGAGCTGCGGCGCGTGCGTGAGGTCGTGGAAACGCCGCCAGCGGAGGAGGTGCGTCGGCGGGGCCGCCGGGTCGTAGCGCGCGGCCCAGACGACGCGGCCGTCGCCGTTGTGGAGGGCGAGGGCCTTGCCGGCGGCGGTGAGGACGACGATGAGCTTCCTGAAGCCGTTGGGGTCGCGGTACATGAGGTTCTTGTTGCTGGGGGGGGCGGGTAGGGCGGGTGAGCGAGGATGATGGGCGCTTACGTCTGTGTGTGTGTGTGTGTGTGTGCGTGCGTATGTGTGTGTGTGTGTGTGTGTGTTCGTGTGCGCATGCGTGTTTCTCGGTGCGTTGAGCGTGGATGCGGCGGGAGCATGGCAGCACATGCACGCCTCCATGCACACAGACGCATGACACACGTGTGCACGCACACACAAGCGCAAGCACCCCACCACACACATTCGCACACTCCCTCTCTCTTTCCCGCACCTCAGCTCCTCCCTAAGCGCCACCAGCTCCGCCTTGTCCTCGTCAGCACCCAGCTTGAACTGGACCACAACTGCCAGCAGCTGCATCCGCAGCCACCGCCTGACATTGTCCCCAAACAGCCCGCCCCCCTTCGCGCCCTCCGCCACCGCGGCGCCCTTGGCGGCGGGAAGGTCAATGAACAGCGTTGACTGAATGCTCGCCAGCGCTTCCTCGCGCACCCACACGGGCGGCGCCGGCCCCCTGGCGAAAGAGAGGGCGTGGTCGCTCCACACGACCAGCAGCGGTCGCGCCGCCGCGTCGAGCGCGCCAGGCGCGTCGCCGGCACCGCGGGGTGCGGCGGGGAACGCGGCGCGGACGGCGGCGGGCGGGCCGTGGACGGGGTGGGGGGCGGAGGGGGCCGCGAGGGTCCAGGAGGCGGCCGACGCGCCGCTGGCCGTGTCGACGACGGTGACAGGCACGCCTGAAAGGTTGCAGGCGGAGCGCGGTGCTGTGAGGCGCGAACACAGCTTTGGAGGCACAGGCGGGGATCGGCCCCGTGATCCGGAAAATCAGAATCGAAAGATCCATTCCAGGTGGCAGCTGGAGCCAGCAGGCTCGCATGCTGGGGTCAAAGTGGGCGCCGTCCCCAGCCCACCTGCGTCGGTGGGGGCCCCGAACACGGCTGCGAGCGTCGCGCCCGCCGCGTTCACGAAGGGCTGAGACACAGCAGTGGCGCCCGGGAAGCGCTGCACCAGCCGGAGCGCCCCGTCAGCAACAGACACCAGCAAGACGCCTGCGCGTCGCGAGGGGGCGAGTGTCGGGAGTGTGGCGGCCGGCGATGGTCACAGCGCAGCGCCGCATAGGCAAACCCACCACCAGCACCATGCCAACCAATGTCCCTCGGCGGCGGCGAAGGCGCGCCGCTTCCATCGGTGACGACGACGGCGGCAGGGGCAGCAGCAGGTGCAGCAGCAGGCGGAGCAGACAAGCGAGCGAGGGCCAAACCCAGCGGCCGCGACAGGTTCTGCGGGATTATAACCACCCTGCTTGCGACGTGCTCAACAGCTCAGGCCCTTCGCCCCCACCAGTGGTCTCTGCCGCGCCTCACGACACGGTCCCTGGACCGCACGCACGCCCTTTGCCACTCACCCGCGCCAGGAACCGTGTAGAACGCGCCCCGCCCGTCGCCGCCCGCGCTGGCGACCGCCACCTCTCCGCCGCACCCGCCGTCGCAGCCCGCCAGCGCCGCAAAGTCCAGGCAGTCCAGGTCCGCGCCCGCTGCGTCGTAGTCTGCCGCCGCCGCGCACGCCGCGGCACCGGACGCGCTGGCCGCGAACAGCCCGGCCTGGGTCAGCAGCGCGGCGCGGCCCAGGGGCTCGGGGCTGCGCAGGTCCCAGCGCTGGGCGCCTTCCTCGCCGCCGCTCAGGCTGAACAGCGCGGCGCCGCCGGACTTGGCCCTGTGGTGTTTGGAAGCAAGGGGCGAGGGTTACCCGCGCCGCTTGGCCGCGCGTCATGGGCGACGGCTGCAGCAAACGCTTGATCGAGACCATGCAGGCTGACAAAGCATCCCCCTCCTATGCCGTGCAGCCCCTGCGGAGAGCTCTGAGCCGGCTTCAAACCTGGGCGCCACCAAGCCATACGGCAGCCGCGGCGCGAGCTCACCCCGGCACGAAGCTGACCGCCAGCACGTTGTCCCCTGGCGCCTCGCTCGTGGTTGGCGCCGCGGCCACGAGATTGAGCGCACCCGCCTCCGCGGAGGAGCTTGGGCCGGGCGCAGACCAAGCAAGGGCGCCCTTTGCCGTCCCTCGGACCTGCGTATGGCCACCGGCAGCGAGTGCAGCGGGCGCGTTTGCGCGCTCGGGCTGCCCGGCCCTACGCCGCATCACACATAAAGGAGCTTGCGGCCCTGCGAGCGCGGCGCCAGGGGCGCACGCAGCATGACCCCTGCCCTGCTCGATGACTTGTAGGGTCCCGCAGCCTGCCTGGATCCCAGGGGTAACGCTGCGTTTATTTGAGAAGCAAGGCGTGAACAGCCCTCTGTCGCTGTTCGCCATGCACAGTTGATCACTCAGCACAATGGCCGGGGCCGCACCTGGACGAGCCCTCCGCCAACCAATGCGACCCCCGGCCCGTCCTGCAGGGTGACAGCTGCCAGCGCAGTGCTCCCGCCCGCCGCGGCGGCCGCCGGCGCCGCGAGGCCCTCCCACTTCAACCCGCCATTTGCGTCCCACGCGCGCACGTAGCGCCCGCCGCCGCTGGCCGCGACGAGCGCGGCCGGGCGGGCGGCGGGCAGCGCGGCGCCGAGGGGGTCGTCGTCTGTGTATGTGCGGCGCCAGGCGATGGAGCCATCGGCAGCAGACAATGCTGCGACAACCGACTGCGAGGTGGCGACGTAGAACCGGTCGCGCCCCGGCGCGTAGCCCGCCGCCACGACCTCGCCCACGTGCTGGCGGTGCCAGTCGAAGGTGCCGGCCTGGTCCTCGTACATCGCCGCCGCGCCGCGGGCGAAGCACGCGAGCGCGGCGGCGGCGAGGAGGAGCGTGCGCGGCAGCAGCGCGCGCAGCGCGGTTTCGCTGCGGCGAGCCCTCATCGGCCCCCGATCGCCAACTGTCACTTGGTGCGCCACCAGAGCGTGTTAAAAACCTTGCTAATGGATGCGTGTAGCGCTAAAATGGGCCAAACCAAGCTAAAGTCGAGTGATCACGTCGGCTGATCTGTCGCATACAAGATCATGTCACAGTAACCAACACAAAAATCAGTGTAGTAGACATCTGTAACAGCTTTGAGTTGCGAGCGTCCGCTGTTCCCAGATCAAGTTGCAACCTGAACGTGAAGTGGCTCGCTGTATGGTTTGCTGGGCATTGCATTGCATACATAGTGTGGTTGATTTGGTGGCTATTTCCTTCCGCTATCAAGAGGGCAGCTTTGCTGCCAGAGTGCGTCATCCCCCAATTTGACCCTGGATTCTGACCGAGTCCCGCCTGCGCAGTGCACCTGACCGCCTGCGCGGTGCTTCCAAAAGCCTGTACACCTGTCACACCGTGCAATTGTACTGAGAGCGACCGACGACATCTGGAGCAAGTGGCACGGGATCGAGAAGGCGCCAATATCAATTTGGCTCTGTGAGCAGCTCACGCCTTGATCACTGCTTGCGTGCAAACGCCGTCCGCACGCAAGACGCTCGCACTCGCATGCACTTCCTGGTGATGAGTGCAGCATGGACACCGGAGTCTGTTGCATTGATGTACTGTAATTTGTAAAGGGTACAAAACCTGGTTTGCTTTTTCAATGCAGCTTGTACGAGCATATTCAGCGAGTGGGCTCACTTGCATTCGCACACACACACTCTCTCTCTCTTTCACACACACACACACACACACGCGCGCGCGCGCGCGCACGCGCACACGCACGCACGCGAGCGTACAAACCCAGCTTCGTTCCCAAGCACACGCTGTGCAGCTGCACGCAATCGCACACTTACAGTCAGAACACATCAACCACTCATGTGCATCATGCCACCAAAAAGTCATCTCTCAACCCCGTAGCAACGCCAGCACGCGCGCCGCGATCGCCATCGACGCCGTGAGCCCGGGGCTCTCGATGCCAAACAGGTTCACGAGCCCCCGCACGCCGTGGCCCCTGCGCGCCCCCTGCAGCACAAAGTCGGCCGCCGGCTCCCCCGGCCCGCTGACCTTGGGCCGCACGCCCGAGTAGCTCGGCACGAGCGCGCCGTCCCGCAGCCCCGGCCAGTATGACCGGATCGCCGAATAGAACTTGTCGCCCCTGCTTGGGTCTACACTGTAATCAATGCTATCCACCCACTCCACATCAGGCCCAAACTTGGCTTGGCCGCCAAGGTCTATCGTCAGGTGCACCCCCAAGCCGCCGTCCTCGGGCAGCGGGTAGATGAGGTGCGAGAAGGGGGCGCCGCAGCCAGAGAGCGCAAAGTAGCTGCCCTTTGCGAGGCGGCGGGGCGGGATGGAAGACGCGGGGACGCCTTGGATCGACGCGGCGACGGCCTGGGCGCCGAGGCCTGTTTGTTTGGGGTTGTTACGCGGACGTTGGAATGGGAGCCCGGCAGCCCAGGTCGAACATGGAGTGAGCTAACGGGCCGCAGCCATCACAGCCTCAGGCGGGAGTTCCCAGTGGATGTTGACGGGGCCGACGAGGACCAGGCGAACCCGCCAGCACGCCCCTTGGAGAGCAGCACGAGGGAAAAGAGCGCCCTCCCGCGCGAGCACACCTGCGGCGTTCACCAACCACCGCGCGCCGACCGTCGAGCGCTCCCCCGTGTTGACGTCCTCCACGTGCACCAGCTTCCGTGCGGCTTCCGCGGTCACCCCTGTGACACGGCTGTGCACCGCCATGCTCGCGCCGGCCGACTCCGCATCCAGCCACAGCACATCCATGAATCTTTGCAGGGACAGCAGGGTTGGCGCCACAGGACATGCAAGTGCAAGGGTTAGCTACACCTCTAGCCACGCTCTTCTGGATCCCTTTCAAGTGGCTCAACCACAATCGCCATCCTGTGGCTACAGCGACTCGCCTATTGTTAAATTTTGGCAACACTACGGGCCACATAGGCCATCCTGAATGGAACAGCACCACCCCTCGCTCACTCATGACTGCTGACAATGCCCGTCGACGGCGACAGCAGCGCGCCGCTGCACCGCAGCTCCGGCTCCAAGCTCTGCGCCTCCGCCTGCGACAGCAGCCGCAGGTCCCTCACGCCATTGGCCAGGCCGGCTGCCATGACCGCCCGCAGCTGCTCCAGCTGGCTGCCGGCCGCGGTGACGAGGTGCGATGGCGGCAGCGGTCGCTCGAGGTTAGGGCGCGCCGGGGGGCGCCTCGCTAGGCGTGACTTGTCTCATGGGGGCACTTGCCAGGGCGCCGCAGCCGCTGTAACATACGCAGTGGCTGCTGTCACATGCGCATGCCTCGGCCTGGGGGACACGCCCACTTATTTGACTGCAGCAGTCCGCATGCACGCGGCAAGCCCCCTGCCGGCTCATGCCCGCATGTTGACTGGTGCTCGACCACCTGACTATATGATCTGCTGCACCCACCCAGGGTTCGTTGCGACAATCATCTTGCCGGTCCTCTTGTGGGACACGCCGCGGCTCCCACAAAAGTCATACAGCATGGCGCGACCCTCCACGCATGCGGCCGCCTTGAGGCTGCCAGGCGGGTAGTATATCCCCGCATGGATCACTTCTGAGTTCCTGTCGGCGAGGTTGTCAAGACGCGGCCCAAACATGTGCGGACAAGGCAAGCCTGCCAGTGCCGAGGGCGGGCCCAGGACACGGCTTTTTGGGCACCCTCCCAGCAGCAGCCCCGCGTTTCGTCAACTTTTGACAGTCCGGTCTGGTTCACCGACCAGGGCGCGTAAAGAGGCGGCTCGCTGCAGACTCGCCTGCTGCTGGTCTCTGTGCCAATGGCGCCCCCGCGCTCGACAACCAACACCTCATGCCCAGCCTGTGCTATCCCTCGCGCGCACGCGAGCCCGACGACACCTGCGGGGTCAATTATTTCGTTGAGCTCAGGAGGGTGGTTTAAAGCGCCGGCAGAGGCACCCAGCTGCTGCGCCACCCTGCTCGCACCTGCGCCAATGACGACGCAGTCGACAGAGTCGCCCGCCGCATCGGCGATCCCGCGTCCGATTGCAAGCGCAGCAGGACTTTTATGTATTAGTGCGCCTCTCTGTTGCGTGAGAGCCCGCAACGCTGGCCACATTTGGAGGTCACCCAGATCGTTGCCTCCAGCTGCACTTCAGTCATCTTCAGGTATTTGATTTGTTGTTCACTTTGTATCCAGGGACACATAAGCGTTCCATTGTTTGCTATCACCCTGCCCTGCCACTTGACCATTCACGCGCGGTCTTGCTCGGCACTGCACGCACGCCCATTGGTGCTTATTCGCGTAGTTATTCCAACCTATCAGCTCTTGCGCTTCCAGCGCGCATCCAACGATTGCCGCGCAGACGCTGCGGCCTCAGCACAGTGCGTGGCAAGCACGCAGCACACAGGAGGGCAGCTCAATCCACAGCGATGCTCGGGAACTGTACCAGGCGGGCCCTGGCTACCGCCAGCCGAGGACGTGCGTCCCTCCGCCTGATTGGCCAGCCGGCATGTGCATATGCCACTGATGGCGCCGCCGCGCCACCAGGTGAGCGTCTGTGGCTGGAGCAGCTTCTGGCGGGGTCGCGGGCGGGCAGCTGGCAGTCATGGCGCACGCATTTCTTGGACATTCAAACACGCACAGCAGCTGTACTGCACGGCAGCTCCCGCGCTGCTCTGACTCTGGGCCAGGCCGCTCAGCCTTGCATCATTGCACTCTGCCGTAAAGCGCTGCACACCAGCACCCAGCTGCACCTGCCACGACCTGACCGCCCTCCCTCGCGTGTGCTGCCCCCTCCACCACGCAACAATCGTGTGGGCGCGCGTCGCCCACCAGTCTACGTTATTTTTGGCGCCAGCGGCGGCATCGGCAGCTGCCTGGCCAAGCGGCTGGCCGCGAAGCCGGGCGCGACGGTTGTTCTGGCGGGCCGCGACCAGGGCAAGCTGGACGCGCTGGCCGCGTCGCTGGGCGGCGGCGGCATCCCCCTGGTGGCAGACCCGTTGGATGCTAAGCAGGTGGGAGGCGGATGTCAGGGAACTGGCTGCTACAAGGATTTGGCCGATTTCTTTGACAGGGGTTTGGGCGCATTATGGAGCAAGGCGCTTACAGAGAGCGGGCAGCTTTTCGGGAACGGCCGCTTTGATTGCCTTAAGGGGCCCAGCGGGCGCCCTGGATCAGTGATTGCATGAGCGCATGCACGGCAGCCTCAAAGGCTGCTGCCCCTGCGGGACAGGCTGTTTGGAGGGACGCCCAGCCCGGCCGATTGGCAGCAGCGCGGGCTCACCTGCAGAGCATGCGGCTGGGGCGCCCGGGCGGCCGCGCAAGCTAATCCGGTCGGCTGTCAAGCAACTGTCCTGCATCCCCCCTGTACCCCCAGGCCGACGCCCTGTTTGCAAAAGTGGTGTCTGACCACGGCCGCGTCGACGGCGTCGCAAACTGCGTCGGCTCCATCGTCCTCAAGTCGGCCCACACCACCAGCGACGCCGACTTCGAGCAGGTGCGCGCCCCGCAGTAGGGGCGGCTTTGTGCGGGCACAGGCGATGCTGGTGGCCCAGGGGTCGGCTGTGCGGCTGCGGCAGCGGCGGCGTCAGCCGACTTGCAGGCATTGGTGCGGCCGCTTCCTGCAACGCCTCAAAAAGAGCGCCCGTCTGCTCGAGTCCTTCAAGGACGTTTCAACAATCACTGGCTGCTGGCCCCAAGTGTCCCACGACCCGCCACCCGCTGCCTCTGCCGTGCCCGCCCGCCAGACGCTCCGCACAAACCTGTTCAGCTGCTTCAACGTCCTCCGGCCGTCGGTCAAGGCGATGATGCGGCAGCCCACCGGCGGCTCGATTGCGTTCTGCTCCTCTGCGGTGGCGCGCCACGGCATCCCCAATCACGAGGCCATCGCCGCCGCCAAGGCGGGCGTGCAGGGTAGGGCCAACCTCCGCTTCGGCGCCCTGCGGGCCGTGAGCATGCACGCTGCCTGCATCGCACTCGGCCACCATGTCAAGCAGGTCCGCCACTGCTGTGCGCACGCCTGTTACTAAGGTAACACCTGATTTAGCTTGTGGGCCTGCACCCAGATGGCTGGCGCCGACAGCCATATCAAGCCTCTGGCCAAATTCAACGTTTATGCTCCCCCCATCTGCGTGCCTTCAGGCTTGATGCTGTCTGCAGCGGCGACGTACGCGCCAAAGGGCGTGCGCGTCAACTGCGTGGCGCCGGGCCTGACGCGCACGCCCCTGGCTGACCGCATCATCTCCAACCCAGCGGTGCGATCCCCTTGCCCCCACACGCCACCCACCAATCACCACTTTCTCAATGCGCGGGCTGTTTCGTTGTTTGTATGCACAAGGGCCGCTTTGACACCTGCAGGCTCAGGATGGCACCACGGCGCATGCGTGCAGACCTTCCTCAGCAGCGCCAGCTGCGGCTACGGCAGGATTGCTGAGCTTTCGAAATGCAAATGTGACTGTGCCGTCACAGCGGCTTTCTTGTGCCCATGCACCCGCTGAGCTTGCTTGCTTCTGGCTCACACGCACGCACGCCCCCTGGACTACCACGCCCTCTCGGTCTGCCGCTTGGCCCCGGACCGCCGCAGGCCCTGAAGGCTTCGGAGGGGATGCACGCGCTGAAGCGCGTGGGGGAGGCGGATGAGGTGGCGGCGGCCCTCGAGTTCCTTCTTAACCCAAGCAACAGGTGCGCCGACTAGGCCTGGCGCCGGCCGCCGGCTGCATGCGCGCTGCGCCAGCAAGCGCTGCGACGATTGTCTCGATCAAGGCAGCTCAATTGCCGCCCTCTTTGCGTGCTGAGCTCCTGCTCCTGGCTCTCTGCCCGCTTGGTTGAGGATGGGGTGTGCTCACACAACACCCTCGATGCAGTTCGAGGCCTGTTTACCAGACCGCCTCTCTAATCACCATTCATTGCCCCTTCCCCTATCTGATTATGTGGTGCCCAGCTTTGTGACTGGCCAGGTCTTGGGCGTCGATGGCGGTCTTGGAAGCTTGAAGGCGCAGTAGGCAGACGGGCGAATGAGGGCGAGCCGTCCTAGCCAGGGTGCCGCCAATGGGGCGCCACACCAGGGCACCACGACTGTATGAGCTAGGAGGGTGTGCCCCTGCGACACTGCTGTGACCGTCACGCCTCTCTGTAATAAAAGCCCGTGCGTCAGCGCAATGTCGCTGCTTGCGAGTGCATGGTGGCAGTGGCTGTTCTCCGGTTGTTGTGACTGCTTGGCTCCCTTGGACCGGTCAACCCTGGGCTTGTCAGGGCTGCAGGCCGATACTACTTGATTCACAAGCTCTGTCCAAACCCACATGATCTCATCAGAGTCTCATCGCCGTATTCTGGCATTCCAGATCGGGCTCTGCAGACGTGAGTCGGCAAGCTGCCTCGGAGAGTGCGCGAACACCGGCGAGCTACTGGGGCACTGCTGGAGACTCGGAGGCCCGATCGCCCTGTGGCCCTGGTATTATCAAGTTTCTCCGCCAATTATCTTCTATAGTGAGCTCACCATAGCAGCGAGCTGCGGGTCGTGAGAGTCAGACTCTGTTGGTTAGATTTCTTGATCCCCTAGCATCAGATTGACGACGATCACCAATTGAATTATATATAGAGGTGTTTTGTAGCAACTCGCAGCAGTACGGTCGTCTTCCCGCAATACCGATCCCGGCGTGGTGCCGCCACCTCAATGGCACGCACCCGCCGAGGTGTGGGGCCAGGGGCAGTTATTGAATCCCCAAGCCACGCTAGCGGTGGCCCTGCCGGCGCACGCAGCGCGCTCGCGGTTGCGTTCCCGCCTGTGGGCATGGCCGTGCCTGACCCCCAGCCGGCGGCATGTCTGGCTGAGGTTAGGGCTGGCGGCGGCGAGGAGAATCTTCACGGCCTGTTGCGCTTTGCATCAGGAGACACGCCAGAGCTTGGCAGCGGCGCGCTTAGCAGCGGCGACTTCAGGCAAGCCAAAGAGACACGGGCAGGCTGTATTTGTCGGTTGGGAACACATCACAGCTTCAGCAGACCAGCGGGGTGCAGATCAGCAGCTGCCGACGCGAGTAACCGCGAAACTTTTGCCGGCAAGTAACAACTGCACCCTCATTGTGTAATGTCCCCATTCACGGTAGGCAGCTACCCCGCAATCAAACCAACTGTGCACTTGCAACCACCTTGTCATGTCAACCCCGCCGGTGACGACGGCCCCAGGTCGCTGATGCAGGAGCTGGATGACACATCAGATGACTTGACAGAGAACCAGATAGCTGCCACCCAAGCTGGACGCGTGGGTGTGGCAAACTGTGCGCCTTCGCAGTCAGCTGCAGCGCCCGGCGCGATGGCGGCGCGTCCTGGGGGCCCTTGCGGCGCCACCCTGCCAGACGTTGCGCCTACGCCGAGCGGACTGCCCTTCCATGGCTCAAAACTGCCGCCGGCGGCAGCTGCAGTCGACCTTGCACCTGGCGTGGTGGGCACCGCCGCCACGGCAGCACCACCATCAGCAGCAATGATGCTAGCAGCGCCAGCAGCAACAGGAGCAGAGACGGCGGACGCTTTTGTCACGCTCCACGCAGCGGCAGCCTCAGTGGCTGACGCGATGGATGCCGTGGACTCAGAGCTCGAGGCTTGGCTGCCCACGACAGCACCTTGCGCTGTTGCTGCTGCCGCCGCAACCGCGGCAGCTCCAGCCGAGGCCGGGTGGCGAACGGAGCACGGGCCGCTCGGCTCGCTGCAGCCGGCGTGGCCGCCCCATCAGGCGTCTCACCATCACCACCCCCAACATCACCACCAGCACCACCACCATCATCAGTCATCAGCGCGCGACGGCGGGCAGGAGGACGTGTGGGCGTGGCCGCGCTGGCCGCCAGCTGCTGCAGGCGGGCCGCCGCAGCAGCTACCAGCCTTGCAGCTGCTTGTGCAGCATCCAATGGGGGTGGAGCAGCAGGCAGGCGCGGAACCGGCGGCCCAATTCCTGGGGACAAGCCTGGCGGCTGGGCAAGGCGCGGCAATCTCTTTCCAGCAGTGGGGCTGGGCGGGCAGCAATCGGCCTGCTGGCGCCGGCTTTGGTGGCGGGCTGACATTCCAGCATCAAGTTCCGGATGCATTCGCGCCCGCTGGGCACGCGCAGCAGCTCCGCCACGCCCCGGCGGCGTTGGGGCCCCTGCGTGCGACGGCGGGCGGGAGTGCGGGCGGCGGCAGCAACGGAGCGAGCGTCGCAGACCTGCCAGACACGCCCAGAGGCTTGGCGGGCAGGGCCGGCGCCGCCCACTCGCGCAAGGCGGTGTGGGAGCAGATCCAGCAGCAGCGGCTCGATACGGAGCGCCGCCGGAAGGAGGAGAGGCGGGAGCTGAAGAGGCACCATGCACAGCAGCAGCAGCAGCAGCAGCAGCAGCAGCAGCAGCAGCAGCAGCAGCAGCAGCAGCAGCAGCAGCAGCAGCACCAGCAGCACCAGCAGCAGCAGCAGCAGCAGCAGGCACTGGAACAGGCCCTGCAGCGCCAGCGCAGCGAGGCGATGGCGGCGGCGCTCGAACGATCGCAGTCGCTGCTGCCTGCGCTGCGAATAGCAGCTGCGGCGCAGCGTGCGGCTTCCCTGCCAAAAGACACCGCTGTAGCCGCGGCTGCGCCTGATGCCCCCGCCAGCCGGCAGGCTGAGGAGCAGCCCGCAGCACCTGCTGGGGCTTGCGCCACAGTGGGAGCTGATACGCCTTTCGCCAGTGCAGCGGCCGCTCGCCAATCAAAAGGAGCTGCCGCCTCAATGTCCAATGCACCACCACCGCCATGGGGCTCGTCCGGAAGCCAAATCTCGTCTAGTTTTGCTGCAGGGGTGCATCCGGCGCCGAATGCAGTACAGCAGCAGCAACGGCTTTCGCCAGAGGCGGCATTGGCGGGGGCGGGCAGCGGCCTAGCTCGCCTGTCCGTAGCAGGCAGCAGCGGGGCATTCACAGACGTGGTCGCCGCTGCTGTCCAGCAGACGGAGGCCGCCGCGGCCGCGGCCGCTGAGGCGGCGGCGGGCACCATGCATGCGCGGCCGCCCACGCAGCAGCAGGCGTGGGCTGTCAGTAGTGAGGGTGTTATGTGGCATCAGCAGGCGCTGGGGGCGGCCGTCCCGTGGGCGGAGGCTGGCGGCTCTCCAAATTCTGCTCACAGTGCCCTGCATGTACATGCGTCGCAGCTTGCTTTGCACCGCCAGCAACAGTACTTGGCAGCCCACCACAACCAGCACCACCACCAGCAGCCTGCTGCTGAGCAGCAGCAGCAGCAGCAGCAGCAGCAGCAGCAGCAGCAGCAGCATGGGCCGCAGCACTTGTCGGACCTCCTGGGTCAGCCTCGTAGCTGTGTCCAGGGCGGATTGACACAGCAGTCTGATCTGTTGCAGCAGGGGCACCAGGCAAGCTACAACCAATATGCGACGCCTGAGTGGCAGGGTATGCTGGCTGCCCAACAGCTTCCCGGGACAACCCTGCCGCAGCTTGATCTCGGGTCCCTCGCTGGCCAGCAGGCGTTGATGCAGGTTTGGGGCCAGCAGCAGCAGCAGCAGCAGCAGCAGCAGCAGCAGCAGCAGCAGCAGCAGCAGCAGCAGCAGCAGCTACTGCTGAACCTGCAGGTGCAAGCCAGCGGCAACCTGCCAGACGCAGCAGTAGCCGAGCGCGCCGTCACCACCAGCGCTTGGCCCACGGGTCCGGCCTTCGATGGCCTCCACACCGCTGCGCTGGGGGCTGCGGGGTCCAACCCAGGCTACTCCCCCCCGCTGCAGCCGCGCTGGCCCGATCAGCAGCAGGCTTTCGGGGGCGCCGCATGGGCGCAGGGCCTGTACGACCAACACGACCTGTCGTGGCTGTCCCTGCAGCACGCGGGGCTGATGGCGCCGCAAATGGACGCAGGTGGCGCTGCGGCGCCTGGTCAGGGCAGGCGAGGGTCCAGGCGTGGTAAGCATGAGCTGGCAGCAAGCGGCGGCACCGCCAAGCCGCGCCGCCAAGCGCAGCAGAAGGGCCGCGTTATGGTCGCCGGCGCCGCGGCCGCCGCAGCCGCGGCCACGGCCGCCGCGGGCGCCGTCGCGGCGCCGGCCAGCAGCACGCCCGCGCCTGCGGCAGCGCCGACAGGCAGGCGGCTGATGGCCAACGGCTGGGTGCCGACGCGGAGCCCTCCCAGGTTTGTGGCGCCGCCGCCGAGCGCAGGGGAGCAGCAGGCAGGGGCCGCTCGCGAGGATGACGAGGCGGACGCCTTGGCTTATGTGGTGGCGGGGCCTGGCTGCATGGGCCCCTTTGAAAAGGTGATGTAGGGCCACATGAAAACACAATGGGGTGTTGAGTCGTGGCTTTTGCCGGGCACCCTGCTGCGCGCAATGATTGCCGCCTCTGTGGGTGGCTTGGCCCCTGCCCGAATGCTTGGGTGAAACGATGCCGCCACTTGGTCGGGGGCTTTCTTGCTGATGCGTGCGAATTTTGTTCGTACCAGCAGGTTATGCACACAGATAGGGCAGAGGTCTGCAGCCTGTCGTTGTGGCGCGTGACAACTCTGCTGGCGCGCTTGCCTGAGGGAGTTTTGATAAAGATGGAATTTGGGTTCCAAGGGTCCTGGGAACAATCTGACCCAAACACTCTGCCGCACATGTGGTTATGTATTTATGAGCCCTTTTGGCTTTGCGCCTTACTTCAAGGGTTGAACCGGCTGCAACCCCGGGCACCATGTACTGTACCGCAGCAGCCGTTGCCTGCGATGCAACCGCACGCGTGGCTCATCAGCATCCATCCGCGCCCCATCAACAAAGCCAGCCAAGGCCCGGCCGCTGTACTGGTGCATACTGTCAGCAGGTGCACGCGTGGGACTGGTTTCCATGGGCCTGTCTCGGGCCCCGCATTCGTGCGAGTTGTTACCAAAAACCGGGCATCGCGCTGCGAGCCACGTGCATGTGCGGCCGCCCCGTGTGATGCAGCAGGTCAGAGCTTGATGGGGACCCAGCGTCAAAAAGCGCAACATTGTGAATCAAGTGCAAGTGATCGCCCAATGACCAGCCTGAAAAACTCCACAACATCGGCGTCAGCACCTTATGCACAGACATCATTTGTTGGGGAATCAGGGGCACATTGGCCTGCAACTAAAAGCCCACGCAGCCCTGCCCCAATCAAACAAACATGCAGCTAAGCAATGCACACACGCTTGAAGACGTTTGCGCTGCACGAGTCAGCACGCGGTGCCGTCGCCGGACTGCCCGCGGTGCTGCTGGCACTGGCAGGTGGTTGCATAGCAAGCACCACCGGCGCAGCGGCCCCAATGTAAGCCGGCGCATCCTCGACTGCTGCTGCAGTGGTCAAAAGCGCGCTCGACAGTCCACAGACACAAGCATCCCGGCAGTCGGAGCAGTGACATGCATGGGTCGGTGCAGGCTCCATGCTAAACCGCCTGCAGCCACCCTGGCACCAACCCTCACAAAGGCCGTATGTTTGACAGCCGCACCTGGCGGCTGTCTTGCCCCCTGTCTGCGGGGGTGATGCGCTCAATCTCGCCCCTCAGGTCTGCGGGCGCCCCGCTCAGGTCGACCTGCGGCGCCAAGCGGCGT